TGTGTGTGTGTGTATTTATAGTAAATCTGTGTTGCTCAACTATACAGTCAGTTAAAGAGCCGCAAAATGCCTAAGAATACGTGGCCAGGATATTCAGGGCTGAAAGGCTGGCTCCATAAACATCACATGCCGTGCTGGGCAATCGAAGACGTCAGCCAGAAGAAGATGACATAACTCAGTGCAGCAGCAAAGGGTTGTGTCCTCATGAACTCACCAAACGTCCCGGCTGACGAACCTGGGGCCATCTGACGGAAGTTGAGGTAAGGTGAAGTGGAGGTTAAATACGGTAAAGTTAGGTTAAATAATGGGCAGAATAGGTAAAGTATTGTAATACGGGGTGCCCACTACGGCTGGGATCGGCCGATCGCCTCAAAAACAAACGTGTTTGTTTTTAGTTTCAGGCGATCGAGTCGGGCGATCGGCCCGATCCAGCCGTAGTGGGCACCCCGTAAAACGTAACGTTTGGCAAAGTTCTTGTAAAGCAATTGTATGCTGATATGGAGACGTTTGGTAGACGTAATGTAAGTTGATCATGAGGTAGAGATAAGGTATGGTAAGGCTGGGATAAGCTTTTATAGACGTGATGTAAGGTAAGGTTAAGTGATGTAAAGTAGCGGTAAGTATTGTATTATAACGTAATGCACGATAGAGGTGAGGCAAGGTAATGTATGGCATTGTATATAAATTTGATATGGGTAGTACATGTATAAGGAAAGCTTAGGTAAGATAGAAGTAAGGTCAGGTAACATAATGAAAGGTAATTGATATTGGTATTTTCATATTATACGCTCTCGTCGACACAGTTTATCAATTACGAGACACGTTTTTACAATGCCTATCAGGGCCAAACCTATTTATATGGGGCACAGCATCTAATAAATAGATATACATACATACATATATATATATTGCCAAGCAGCAATCAAATTCACGACAGCTTCGTGCCAGACAGCTAATGCACGTATAAACAGTACGGCGAGCAATTAGGCGCTCCGATGTCGTAAACAGGAGACACGAGTTTGATTCCCGAGTGGAGAGAAAACATTTATCGAGTATCTTGGTTTTTCTGTCGGAATGTTGTATCACTCTTAGAATACGTTATCGCCGACAGGCAGCGTAGGGTCGAGTCGGAAGCCGCCTCGAGATGATTTAAATAATGTCGCAAAAGGTTGGGGGGGGGGCGTAATACTTCTACATTTATGTTGTATGGTATAGTTAGGTAACTAGCAAGGGAAATCTAGGGTATGAATGGACAAGGCAAAGTGGCACAAGAGAAGGTGTGATGCGGAAAGGATAGATAGAAGTAGAATTGCTATGATATGGGTAGGTAAAACTCAAAGCCTATGAAGAAGATAATAACATTATTGTTAAGTATCTCTGCCTGAATACATCTCACACACTAGAGTGAGGGGAGGCAGGACTTAAGCAGCCTGCATCCTGAAACATTCAAAATAGTATCAAAAGAGATGAAGTGAACGAGTTCGAAGGACAAAGAGAGAAAGAGAGAGAGAGAGAGAGAGAGAGAGAGAGAGAGAGAGAGAGAGAGAGAGA